GGGGCCGAGTTTGTTAAACTGCTGACCCAGAGAATCCCTTTCTCGTCCCGAAGTCGGAGGAGCGGCCGTGGGCGCCGAGGGCTGTGGGGTTCAGTGGCGAAGGGAGCCAGGCTCTGCGCCAGGGGCTCCAGCCCCACGCCCACTTCCTGTCTCTCACCGTGGCAGCCGGTCGGCTCCGGAGTAGCTTCCTGCCCAGTCACTTAACAAATGAAGTGACTGACAAGTCGAGCAGGGACACACGGGGCCTCTTCCTACAGTCATGACCGCTCTGCTCTCCCTGGACATCAGGGCAATGCATCAGGCTGTTTACTAAGCGCTTACTGTGCGCTGGTTCAGACTGATGAGCTCCTCACTGTGCGCTGGCTCAGACCGATGAGCTCGTCACTGTGCACTGGCTCAGACGAATGAGCTCCTTACTGTGCGCTGGCTCAGAAGGATGAGCTCCTCACTGTGTGCTGGCTCAGACTGATGAGCTCCTCACTGTGTGCTGGCTCAGACCGATGAGCTCCTCACTGTGCGCTGGCTCAGACGAATGAGCTCCTTACTGTGCGCTGGCTCAGAAGGATGAGCTCCTCACTGTGCGCTGGCTCAGACCGATGAGCTCCTCACTGTGCGCTGGCTCAGACGAATGAGCTCCTTACTGTGCGCTGGCTCAGAAGGATGAGCTCCTCACTGTGCGCTGGCTCAGACCGATGAGCTCCTCACTGTGCGCTGGCTCAGAAGGATGAGCTCCTCACTGTGCGCTGGCTCAGACGAATGAGCTCCTCACTGTGCGCTGGCTCAGAAGGATGAGCTCCTCACTGTGCGCTGGTTCAGAAGGATGAGCTCCTCACTGTGCGCTGGCTCAGAAGGATGAGCTCCTCACTGTGCGCTGGCTCAGACCGATGAGCTCCTCACTGTGCGCTGGTTCAGAAGGATGAGCTCCTCACTGTGCGCTGGCTCAGATGGATGAGCTCCTCACTGTGCGCTGGTTCAGAAGGATGAGCTCCTTACTGTGCGCTGGCTCAGACTGATGAGCTCCTTACTGTGCGCTGGCTCAGACTGATGAGCTCCTTACTGTGCGCTGGCTCAGACGGATGAGCTCCTCACTGTGCGCTGGCTCAGACTGATGAGCTCCTTACTGTGCCCTGGCTCAGAAGGATGAGCTCCTCACTGTGCGCTGGCTCAGACCGATGAGCTCCTCACTGTGCGCTGGCTCAGATGAATGAGCTCCTCACTGTGCGCTGGTTCAGACCGATGAGCTCCTTACTGTGCGCTGGCTCAGAAGGATGAGCTCCTCACTGTGCGCTGGTCGACCGATGAGCTCCTCACGGTGTGCTGGCTCAGACGGATGAGCTCCTCATTGGGCGCTGCCTCAGAACGGATGAGCTCCTAACTGGGCGCTGGCTCAAACGGATGAGCTCCTCACTGTGGCCTTGGCTCAGATCAGTGAGCTCCTTACTGGCCCTTGGTTCAGAAGGATGAGCTTCTTCACTGGGCTCTGGCTCAGAGGATGGGGCTCCTCACTGGCG